CCCCACCCTGCAACGACAGGACACACCTGCGCCCAGCCATCCCGCTGGAGAAGAGGGTAGCTATTGCCCTCTGGAAGCTGGCCGCTCCTGATAGCTACTGGTCAGTGGGACACCAGTTTGGTGTGGGGAGATCTACTGTTGGTGCTGTGTTGATGGACGTAAGTCCCTTGGGGACAGGGGGAGGGCAGTCCGCAAGGGGACTGTAACCGAAAAAGGCTGGGTGGGGGGCAATGGAGGGGAGGTGGTGGAGGGCTCCTGTGTCTTACACCATCATACTACTGGGAGCAATCACTGGGGGGGGCAGTTCTGGGTTCTTTTTAACTATTAACTTGGGCAACCCCCCTGACTTCATAATCTGTGTGTGTTTGTATGTGTCTATTTTTGCAGGTGGTGAGGGCCATCAACTCACAGCTGCTGAATCGGATTGTCCGCCTCGGAGACCTAGACACGATCATGGCTGGTTTTGCAGGGCTGGGATTCCCAAACTGCGGAGGAGCACTCAATGGAACGCACATTCCCATCCGTGCACCACCCCATTGAGCCGCCCGGTATATCAACAGAAAAGGGTACTTTTCCATTGTTCTGCAGGCCCTGGTTGACCACCGTGGACTATTTACGGACCTATGTGTGGGGTGGTCGGGCCGGGCACATGATGCTCAGATCTTCAGCAATTCACACCTGTACGAAAGGCTGCAGACAGGAACCTTCTTCCCCCAGTGACCCTCTGCTATTGGGACGTAGAGATGCCGGTTTTCATTGTGACCAATGTGGCGTACCCCCTCATGCCCTGGCTTATGAAGCCATACACAGGGCATCTGACCCCGAGCAAGGAAGTGTTTAATGCGCACCTGACACGTGCCCGTTTACAGGTAGAATGCGCATTTGGCCGGTTGAAGGGAAGGTTTAGGTGTCTGCTAACTCGCCTTGACATGGGGGAACACAATATCCCAGAGGTGGTGGCAGCATGTTGCATCCTCCACAACCTGGTGGAGAGCAAAGGGGAGGCCTTCCTCCC